AGAGAGAGAGAGAGAGAGAGAGAGAACTGCACAAAGCTGAAGGCTGTAAATTTCTATTTTAAAAATTAAATATCGCGAAATGGAAATTAGTCTTCAAGTTTAAGTGTATGAAAAATTAAATATGAATAAATATACATACCATTTAATTTTTCATACAAGTATTTGTATATGTATATATGTATCATATTTTATGTGCCTTCAGAAAATATTTTCACGAACGAGAATACGTCAAATGAATACGAATATGAATATTGAATATGAGATTAAGATATTAATGGATAGAAAGATTTCACAACGACTCATTATAGTTCATATTTTTGTTAGGAATTAAATTGAAGTAGAAAGTTATCAATCTTTCTTCTAAAAATTACATTCCATAAATGTGTGTATGTGCCTTTCAAATCAGTGCAACTAAATGTATATATTTTGTAAAAGTGATCTTTTACTTTAATATATATACGAAAAATTAACAATCCCGCGATATATCAAATTATAATCATAAATACAAAACGTGTATATATAATAAATGTATATACATATATGATATTTATAGTTATATGTTGATCGCGTTACATTTCGTATTTCTTGAAAATAGACACTTCGGCGGATGATAGTCAAACTTACTGATACATATTTTACGTGCCCCTATATTTACGAGACGTAAAATTGTTTCGACGAGATAAAATGCGGATGAGGACGGAATTTGCAAAAACTGAACGTTTTCGGCGGAGTTTTCCAGTGGCGAACATCGATACGCAGCAGCAAGCCAATAATGGCACGGTATGCGCGACGCTAATTGCATTATTGCGTGTGGCATGTTGATGACTGTTCATCAGCGGTTTCGCTAATGAAAGGGATTTGATAATAGGGGGGAAAAATCTTAAGATGAAAGATTGAAATTCAATTCCGCTTTTTCGTAAATCGAAAAAAGGATCCTCGTAATTTCTAAGAAATTATATCACTACTTTTTAAATTAAATTACCTAATTATTTGAAAAGAAAGGATATTATTCTAAAAATATAGTAGATATTATAATTAAAACTTTGTGTTGTTTCATATTACTATTATTTCTATTATTATACTGTTTCTATTTTCGCTTTTAGAAGCATCAGTAGAGTAAAACATATACGCTATACGCAAATGTACATTTTTATAAAAGAAAGAAAAACAGAATATATACGGTGTAAACCTCTTTCGCAACATTTTTGAAATAAATTCTTATCCAAAGAGAAATATGCGGATCACAGTTATTACAATTTATCTTCAAGAACGAAGAGTAGAGTAAAAAGGGACACACCCTCGACCGACATTGGCGTGTTTCGAAGTGGCGCGGCGATTTACATAATGCGAGTGCGCACGACACTGATTACATTACGCCCAAGGAATTTGCACGACTGTTCCCGGACGACTCCTTACGGCGAGCGTTTGTCGGGGGAGAGAGGGTTAGTCGCGGTCTTACGAAACAGTATCAAAGTTCCTACGGATTCCCGTTCCTCTCGTGCGAGAGGAACAATAGCGGAATTGAATTTCAAGGTAACGTAATCGCCACCGTTTTGTTCGCCGCGCTCGTACTGTAGGCACGACCATTATTTCAGCAATTACGACGTTTCTCACCCGCTGCCGCGTGTAACCCGGTCCACCGTCGACGACGACGCGATGGAAAACGGCGGTTGGAATTGCTCAAAGGATTTACCCGTTCGCCGTAATCTCGTCGCGACGCGCGGAGAAAAGCAAGACGCAAATATGCGTGCGCGTGTATTATACATGTATTCATCCGCGTCTCACGTAAGAAGATACGACTTCTCCGCGAACTTGCGCATTGAGAATTAATGACGGCAGGTTGCGCCGTCTGCCAACCGGAAGAAGTTGGAATTCATAAGCGCGGAAATTTCACGTGACTCGCGGCTACAAATTATCCCCGGTGTAGAAGGTCACATTTTCATATTCCGATAATCAAATAATATTCTCCCGCGGCCGGATCTGGAAAATTGCACCTCGCCGAGTGAGATTGGAATAATTTAAAACGGCGCGGGGAGGGCCGAAGAGGCGCGCGTTTTACGTATAATACGCGTCCATTAGGCTTCCATTGTCGCCCGCGCCGCCGACATTAACGCCCCGCAGTTTTCTCGCGCGCTCGCGCGCGCGTCCCTCAAAACGCCGCGGGGGCGCGGCGACATTTTTTCGCGAGCGCGACGATAAATCATCGAGGAATTCAGAGGATAATTTTAATTCCCCCCCGTGGCAATCCGTTAGCCACGGCGCGAGCGCGCCGCGTGTCTTTGTTCCTTACGGAAACCGATGCGACGCCCCGAGAATTGGCGCGCGCGCGAATGCAAAATTTAACGCTTTTACGCGTAATTCACCGCGGCGCGTTTATTACGTTACAATTCAAATATATGTATATACATACATACACACAAGTATATGTATATAATATACATTCTTCTCTAAATATAATAAACGACTCCTGCCTCGGACGAATAACCCGCGCGGTTCCGTTGACCACACCGCACCGCAATTAAATTATCACAGTAATTTCAACAACGGCCATCCTGAGCGTCCTCAAACATCCGGAACATCCGGCGCGCATAATTTCTCACATCATTCCTGTCGGGGCGTGTACCACCGGGGTAATATCCGGGACTGAAACATTTTCAGGCTCGCCGGAATTCTCGTAGGACGATCTGCATTCGACTGCACTCCGCGAAACTGGGCGTTTAACATTGAAATATACGAGACATTAATCGAGTGGCCAAAGTGCAGAAGCCGAAATTAAATTAGAGGGAGCTTAATTCAATTTTAGTTTAAGCGTCGGAGAATATAATGAGATGAATTTTTAATGATACGTTTCCCGTCGGCAAATATCGACGCGATTATTGTAATCAGATGAACGCGAACGAACAGGAAGATTTAATTGTTTTTAATCCTTCAGGCACGCTGCAACTTTAAATCCCTCGGCAATGTTTGCCGTTCTCTCCTCTCTCTCTCTCTCTTCTCTCGTTATTATTTCGACAGTAAACTAGACAGTAAAAAGTTGTTATTAACTCTCCTTTTTATTAAGAACAATTGCGAGTTTCATAATTCCATATACGTACGAGTAAACAAACATACTTCAAGCGTTGAGTTTTAATTAACGTTGACGAGCGAAAGAGAGTTCCAGGTGCAACTCTCTCTCTCTCTCTCCTCCTCCTCGAAACGTCCGAGCTTATCTTTCGCGAAGTGTACTTATATTACGAAACGTCAGTGTTGAGCGATGTTGAGCGATACTTCAGAGCCGTTTAATACACACGTCATATGTAGTCGTGGCTGTACGTCATAAAGCGTGAACAAGATAAAGAGAGAGAAAGAGAAAGAGAGAAAAGGAACTCCATCGGGATGGGTTAGTAGATGGTGCCAGCTGGTTCTACGACTGGCACAACTCCAAGGGAACAAAAATACACGGGTCCGCTCGGCTGGCTTTTCTCTCTCTCTCTCTCTCTCTCTCTCGCTCTCTCTCTCTCTCTCTCTCTCGTCCGACGATGCAGCGCGCAGGTCGGATGCATGATTTGTGTGCTTTATTAAATCCGATATTGGTCGACTCGGCTAACCCGAACCAGGCCATCGGTTATTTCGTGGCAGAAACGAGCGCTCTCCTCCGCTCTCCACTTTCTCTTTCTCTCTCTCTCTCTCTCTCTTCTCTTTCTCCCTCGGCATTTTCGCTCCTCCTTTCGTCGATGCGACTTTTCCACTTTCCGACACGCGTCCGCTCTTTTCATCAAGCGATGCGAGAAGTTGAACGTGAGAAGAGATGATCCTCTCTTCTCCCTCTTTTCCCTCCTCAACTAGAGAATAATTTACCTGTTCCACCGCCTTGAACACCCGTATAAGATTCAGACCAGCCAACTTCTGGATGTCTTTCTCCGACCATCCATGCGCTAGCAATTCCGCGAAGAGCTCCGGGTACTTGCTGACGTCCTCGAGACCCGTTGGTGTCCTAAGGCAAAGAATTTATGATGAGACTTTATTGAGACTCGCAGATGAGACCGCGCGAGGTGATCGATTAGAATAGAAATGTCATAGAAATCGAGTTCTTTTTTTCAGACGTGAAAATTCGAAGAGCTCGGGACATTAAAGATATATTCGGAGATATAATTATAAGAACGTGCAATTATTATTATATCTTATCGAGATTTACGCTGTTAACTTAAATTAGAAGATAATATCAGTTTTCAACATTTTTATTGATTTATGAGTTTTACAGAGACAAACTCTGTAAAACTCAGTCTGATAAAATGGCATTACATTCTTTTCAGTTTAGCAGATAAATCATTACTGGTTTGATAAAAAAAATTCTCTTTCTATCAAACTAATTATTTCATTCTTTTTCCTTAGAAATTCATTCCTTTTCATTGAAAAGGAATGAAATGTTCTTTCTATCAAACTAATTATTTCATTCTTTTTCCTTAGAAATTCATTCCTTTTCATTGAAAAGGAACGAAATTTTCTCGCGGCAATGAAGTGATAGCTGGCAACTTGTCAACACGGTGACTTACAGAGTCTCATCCGAGACGGGGCCCGGCAAACGGGGATATGAAAACGATTTCGTCTCCCTTCATCTCCGAAAATATTGTTTTAAAACACTGCGTTCGTGCGCGCGCGCGCGCGCGCCGTGATAAATTTTCGTCGGCCGCGCGCGACCTGTAAAAGTCGATATGGAAATAATGTTGGCCCTCGCGCGCGGAGCGCCAGCTTGCGAACGTACGGTGGCGCACCAAGGCCACAATTTACATGAATATTTCCGCTCGATAAGATAGGGCTTTAATGAAGCAGAAAGCATCGGGAGTTTAAATTAGAAAACTGCTTGAAACTTTTATGGGTCCATCCTGTCCTCCCCCCTCTTGCTCAGGAACTTCACGTATCCCCGTATTACCGCGGCGTAATTTTACGGCGCGTGCGATTCTTCTATATCTATTGCACACCGCGGCGGTGCAGGTGGGGGTGGACTATATTTTCGTCCGCTTGAATTATTCAGTGTGTATAGATGCGACCTTGACGCGAGCGCATTGTAAAAAAGCCCTCGTCCATTATGCATGCAGGGGGCGGGGGGGGGGGAGGGGCGCGAATTAAAAAAGTTAATTAATATGTGCCTGTGCGAGATTAATGGTGCGCAGCTCTTTTTTATTACGGTATTTCCAGAGACGGTGTCCCCTTTGTCGGGATAACAGAGTGCCGCACATCCGCCCCGATGCAGCGAGATCTTTTCGTAAAAGACGCTGGAAATACTCACGCTTAAACCAAACCACTCGTGTTTATTATTGATTAAGTACTTATTCAAGTACTCTCTTCCCCGTATTATCCCGGACACAGATACTTCTCCCGCGAACAAATATTTAGTTTGAATTATTTTGCGAAACGCGCGCCGTGGCCGCGCGGTCTCTCACCGCGCTTTCCCGATATGAGAATTACTTCCGCTTTCAACCGCTTGCGTTACGCTCTCTCGCTCTCTCTCTCTCTCTATCTCTCTCTCCGACCCTCGTTTCGTCTAAAACAACTATTTGCAGACTATATCGTAGTAAAAATTAGACGTACGTTCAGGCGAGAGGACAGAAGTGAATTCGCGCGGCAGAAGGTCAAAGTACAATAACGAGCTAGTCGGGAGGCAGTCACGGATAAATTACACGAGTTACTTCAGGCGGTTTATCCTTCATTACTTTAATTACCAGTACGCCGGGTGACTGCGGCGAACTTACTTTACCACCGAGAGAGAGAGAGAGAGAGAGAGGGGGGGGGGAGACACGCCGAGAAAGCACCGCATTTCGGCCTTGCTACCTTGTACGATCCTCACTTATGAGTCGAGGGTGAAAATGCGCTGCGAGACCAAAATTTGCTCAACCCGATTTAACGCTAACGCGGAGAATAATGTACTTCGCTGGAAAATATATACTCTTAAAAGTTGTAGAAAAAAAAGTTACTTAAAATAAAAATTTTTGATTTTAACTAAGGAGTGCTGTCATCCTAAAGATATTCGCTTTTCTATCTTTATAGCTTTGTACATCTGACGAGTATCAAGGATTGTCAACATGCTTTTGCGAATTGTTTGGAATTGCAGGGAGTCACCAATTTAAATTTCAGTTTTAGCAAAGAGGAGACGATGTCTCCCCCCCCCCGAGTTTGTGATTCAAGAATATATTGTTCGTCCGCGTTTACGTAGGTTTACTGAGGTAGTCACGTTCTCCGGGAAGCGATCGCTCTTCGTTCTCGCAATCGTCTACATTCTCGTTAATTTATCTCCGTGAATCGTTACGCGAAACGAAACGTAATCGATATCTCCTTCGTGATGATACTACATACATTTGAATCGCGTTTACTGACGGGGACACGCCGGGTAAAAGGGAGTTTTAGAACTGAATTTCGACGTTCTCATTACGGGCGTCATAACGAGAGCTCGTAGAAGACCGGGGTGACAACAGCGCGCGGACGGGGCGGCAAGGCGGGGGGTGGGACGACAGGGACGACGAGCTGTCGAAAGCTGCTCGGCTGACAATGTCGGACCAACAAGAGCGGTTAGAGACTTATTCATGGCGCGTCGTGTTCCCGGCTGAAACTGGCAGTTATGCAACTGTATATTGTACGCATCGGCCGACCGCATCCAGAGGGGCCGTTATTCCAAATTTTGGAAATTTCCAAATCGAGCGTGTCCATCATCGTGCGCTGACTGTAAACGCGAGATGATCGCGCGCGTTCCGAGAACAATGCGCTTACGATCTCCGATAATTATATTCGATTTTGGATCTAGAATGGCTTTTTGGGGATAATTACGCACGAGATGCAATTTCGATATTATTTACCTGATTTCGAGTAATTGTGTTAGATTTCTTAGAGCATAAATTTCTTCGAAATAAAAAATAACTCTCAAAAAACCTACAAATATTTAGTCTCTATATACATTCGAAATTTATGAATTTTTAAGCTATTTTGCGTAGTCAATAAAGTTTGCGTACAGATCCCTCAGAGCTCCGTAAAACCATAAGATAACTAGTCTAATTACTGCCGCTTTTTTCAAATGTATTAGAATAAAAAGTATGAGAGCGTTATTAAAAATAAAATACGCGGGTATTAAAAAATATTTTAGACTTTATATGACTGAGACTGACATATGAACATAAGTCTAACTATAAACAGATAAATCATTCAAAATAATATCGATTGCCATTACGTGGTTAAAGCGACAATAATTAGAATAGTTATCCTAGATAAAGAATAAAAAGTTATATTAAAGGCACAAAACTTTGTTCGACACATGATTTCTTTCGTCCATGATCGGAAAAACAAATGGAAATTGCATCCCCGAAGAGTGCAATATTCAGTGTAACTGAAACTCACACTATATTTTCAAACAATATATTTTCACAATATATTGTTTACCAACGGGTAAAATTTTCTATCAAGCCCGTACAAAATTTTTAAGACGATGAAAAGTAATGACGATCAAAAAAGCAAGATTATGCATGGCCATAAATTCCTCGATTCACAACAAAGACGGAATGGACGGTGTACGTGGAAATTGTTATGTAACAACAGTGATAAATAAATAATCGTGCCGCGGGCGGCTGTACACTGATGAAAATATTGACCTGTCGCAGACTGTTCGTCGTGAGTGTAGGCTGATGTAGCCCCGTCGAAACGTGACGATACCGAGGATCCGGGGTGCCGCTGTAGAGAGCTTGTCGGTCGACCGCGAACGCGTTCGCGAACGTTGTTCCAATTCGCGAAATTTCCAATCCTGTCCGCCCTGTCTCTTTGTCGGTCGAGAGACCGAGAGAGCGCGCGACCGCTTCTCTCGCGTTCGATCGCACGCGAATACTTCTCACCGTCACGCGAGATACCTGGCGGCGTAAATTTATGCGGGCCAAATCTCTGTAGTAAAAATGTACGTCCGCGCGCGGGGCGCGGCGCCGGAACACGTGAGAGTCCCCGCTATCGAACAACGGCAACGCGGTTAGCGGACATCGATTCGGCCTGTCTCGAGCCGAGGCTCGCTTTATTTTATTTTATTTTTTTACTTTTTCGCCCGTCTTGCTCGTACCTCTCGTCTATTTGCCCGTCGGTGCGACCGAATCGAATTCAAAAATGCCGTTTCCGCGGGAAAATACGTTTCGCTCAACCCTAGTGACATTGATTTATGGACGGGCATGAAAAGCACGAAGCCCGGGTTGGATCGTTTCGCGGAAGGAACGACACGCGGAGATCTCGGTTCCCCCGGGGGGGAAAACCCGAGGCAGGAAGTGTCCATCGACGATCGCTTCGTCCTTTTTCGCGATCGTGACTTGGATGTTAAGTGACGATAAGACTTTGGACGTAACATTTACCTTTCGCTATCAGGTATATATATAGGATGCTGCACAATTTTATCTGCAATTCCCCCCCGCGAATTCGAAGTTAATTATGCCTTGGCGGCAAACGCTTCTGTGCATTTTCAATTTCTTCTACCAGAGAGATTAAGCATTGCTTTGAAATTCTATCGAAGTAAAGACCGCGCGATTGATATTAAATTGATAATCACATTTATCATCGATTTGCATGTAATTTGTGAAGAAAAACATTTATTTCTCAGACTTAAAAAAAAAAGCTTATTTATAACTTAAAAGAGAGTCACCATGCTTACGAAAATTACCCTTTTACAGTTTTCCTCAACACTCGCAAACCAAGTACGTGTTTCTCTTGTACACATTCCCTTCCCCTTGAAACTTTAGATATGACACATCATCTTTCTAACGATATGCGCGATGCGATAACCTTAGCTCGTTGCTCGTCCATAAGTGGCTACTCTAGGATACGACGCGGTAACCGGTCGCCGATATGAATTTTAATCTAGCGTAAAAGCTTATTGGGGAGAAGGGGGGCTGGCAGGACTATCAGAGCAGTCCCCCACATCCTGCCAGTATTAACCCCCTCGTCTCCCCCCGCGGTGCTTCCTACGTCTCGTCGTCTATTTCCGCGCGTGACCCACTCTCTCTCTTTCCACCTTTAGAAATAATTAAACACATCCTCCGACGCTTTTTCCGACCCATCTCGTACGAATATTCGCCGTCGCTTCCCACTTCTCCGCGTGAGAGCTACCGGTTTGTATAGTCGATGAGACGGATACCTTCCGCGATTAACTGGCTAAAATTTTAACGGCTTACTCAGACGAAAAACGATAGCAGAGTCTTTCCCTCTTGGCTGCGGCAGTGCAGCCAGTATTTTTTCTAGATATTAAATGGAAGACATATAACTGCACTTTGGCTGGAACGCTTGAAAAATTTGCAAGATTTCTCGCTGGAGTCGAAAGTATTATGATATGATAACATATTTAATATAGACATTATTTATATAGGTACTATTTAATATAGATATTATAATAATGTAATTTTATATAATGTTATAATCTTATAATTTTATAATAATAATAATAGTAATTAAATGTTTTATTTTATATAATGTTATAATCTTATAATCTTATAATAATAATAATAATAGTAATTAAATGTTTTATTTTGAAGAATTTTTTTTTAAAGCTTTTCCGCTTGGTCGAATAAAAATTAAGGACGTTGATACGAAATGAATTTATGAATTTGCAAAAAATATTGTTATTAAAGTTCGCGTATAAAAATTGTCACAGATTAAGCCATTCGATTTTCAGGCAACAGGGGCGAGCGAGTTTATCGACTGGCATTATATATTATTTCGTTATTTGCTTCAACGGAGTTATTTGTAGCCGCGTTGCAATGTGGACATGGTAAAACTCACGAGCCGAAACGGCTGACGAAGTGGAAATGCAACGGGCGTAGCAATAAACGCATTGATCGCCGAAGAATAAATAGCGTCGTGCTTTCGGCTTTCATGTGTTTCGGACCAATTTCCTACCGTGGAGGCAATGAGCCACTAGTCGGCGATACACCCGCGAATCGAGGGTTTCCCTGCGGAACGGTTTCCCCCGATTAGCTCGTTGAAATTTTAACCACGCGCTGTCAACCGGTGAGTTAATTTAACGTGCAATTAAGAACGCGGCGTTTCCGTCGTGGATTCAGCATGACTGTTTCTAATGCAGTTGCCGGCGCGCGGTTTCTGCATGAAATTCGAGGACCGCGTAATTTCCTTTCCGCGGGACAAATTGCTGATTAATTTGGCAAATAGCTCACGTGCAAATTTGTCATTGGCAAACGCAGCTTCTCCTCAAATTGTTTATTGCTACTGCTAATTGTTAGCGAGTCTGTTCTCGTTTAGTTTACAATTGTTTAGTTTGCAAACAAGCTGACTAGACTTTTTGAAAGCCACGCATATATATATATTTTTTCTACATCCATGAAATATACTCCTGAAGATTTTTAGAATTTGTCTCACTTTTTAAATATGCTTTGGTTTTTGAAAAATGTAAATATCTTTAAATTTTTTATACCATTGCGGCCGCATATAAAAAAATATTTATAATAAAAAATTATGGAAATAAATGCGAATTCCGTTACAGTACGTATCGGCAAATGGATTTTCCAGAAAAATGTTTTATGGCGATTCATTCATTCGGCTTCTAACTGATATCGGGCTATTGCGATTAATACGTTGAAATTTCAGCCACGAATATCAGCTGAAAACGCTTCACCGTACGATTCCACCGTACGTGATCCCTCTAACACGGAAATAACATAGTTTTATCTTCGAAATTAAATATACTTGCGAGGAGAACAGTTTTTGTCGGCAATGAAAGCACGTTATCGAATTTATTTGCGGCGAATTCGCCGTGAATTCGAATAAAAGTCCCCCGGCGGATGAAATGCCGTCTTGCCTTCCCAAAAAATTTGATCGATCGTTTACTCTTCACGTGTACGCGAAAGAGGATATTAGATGCTATCAATATTGCCAGTTTTCAGTTCCAATGTATACGCTCATTGCGAAAGAAAGAAAATATGCGTTTATATGTGTAGGTGAGTAACAAGCTGATGTGCTTTTCTCTTTCTTCTCGAATTTCCGCGACGTCTTTGCTGCTTTACGGTTGCATTCTTTGACCAAGCGGAAATATGTTAAGGGTTTGGTAGCTGTTTCAGATTTTTTCCTAACAGGAGTGGCGTAACTTTAAACCTTGAATGTTCACGGCAGATATTAAAACTCCTTTCTTTAGTAGCGCCAGAAACTGGGTGCGGAGAAACGAGCATTGTTTTCATTCCGGTGTGCGACATCTCTTTTCGAGCCCCCGTTCGCATATAACACCACTAAAGTGCAAACTTGTTATTCGCGTCGTTCCTTTCGAAACCAAGACATTCAGAAATCTCCGACTTCGCGAAGAAGTGAAATGTTCAAGAATGGGCGGGAGAATCATCTTTACGCTAATGCAATAAAATAAATAAAAAAGTGCATCGCTGCGTATTGTGCTCCAAACACAATGATGTCTTTGTTATCAATTTTAATTTGCCATGATTGGATGTGAATCCATTTTAATAAAGTTTTGATCTGTACGGCGCTCTTACCGCAAATAAAAATTAAAATTAAATGAAACAATATGAAACGTGTGGATTGTTTCGCATTTAAAGTTGATAAGTTTTAAATGGTAGCGCGATATTGAACGAAGATTTTTAAAAAATTGGAAATATTAAAATTTTCGTGCTTTTCCCTTCAAGTACAAGTACAATAAACTTAGCAAACTTAAGAAAAATTAGTAAAGTTTAGTAAATTTTGTTAACATTCTTTGAAAAAACATAAATTGCAATCATAATTTTCCTCCAAACTGTTTTTTTTTAATATTCTCATAAAAATTTATCAAAACATTGAAAATTGAGGTATTTATATGTGAAAATGTTGTTGATTTAAAATTCGAGACGATATCGCCCACTTCTGTTTTCCATTTTGTAGCCGGTAATTGAATATTTCTACGAAAAAAAACTAGAAATAATATATAAAATGAAACAAAATTGCATGTACATTATGATTTCCAACATCAATAATTAATGACCTATATGTTTATATATTAATCTTCGTTCGCTCGTTTTGTAGTGTTTCTCTCTAAATTTGACTAAATTTATTTAATCGTAAAAAATAAATGTAAAAACTCGCATTCCATAGTCACATTCATAAGCAAAACGTACAGATTTTTTCATTTTATATGCTACTGCATGTTATCTACGCTCTATATAAAAAAATTAATGCCCTAGATTTAATATTTGGCTCTTAAACTTGAGTTTACCTTCTTTCTGAAGAAAGTAAAAGCATTATAGTCATTAATTATTCGCAGTACCGATGTATAATATTTGCCTACATATTTATTTTCCTCGATTTCCTGCATTTGTGTATTCGATATTGTCGCCGGGTAAAAATACAGAAAAATCGTATATCGTGACAGCTCGATCAGCGCGGTATACCTTTTATGTCCTTTTGCTTCTTTACCGTTTGGTCTGCAAATCACGCTTCAATGCATCCGCACTGTTTTTCAATCCTGAATATACACCAGACGCGACCACCTGTGTTTTTCATGCGAATCCCGGAAACTCAACAGCTTTTTAGTTATCCCCCTATCTTCAATTCACTTGCGGTTAGAGCTGTTTCTGTCTATCCTTTTCTTTCCTTCTCTCTCTTCCTCTTTTTTACATGCCCTGTCAATTTTTTCACCAAGCTTAATGCTATAGGGGCCGCGATTTTAGCAACGCATGCACCACAAAGGTTTGGCATTTTTAATCAAAGGGGTCGCCCGATGTTCGTGTGTTTACCCGATTCCCACGTCCACTTAGCGGATTCGAGTTATCGCGGCAAAGAGGAGTTTCCGCGCTGAACAAACTGCGTGAAAAGCATAACAAAGACGGGAGGGAGGATAACGGGACGAAATAATATCGGAGGGGGGAGGAGGTTCTTTAGCAAACGGTTGAATACCATCCGCGCGTATTTCGCGAGAGCGATTTTATGTACGGGGATTCTTTAAAAATGCACCGGTACGATGGATTCCCTCGTGGAGAATTGATGGGCTTCAAACGATATTCATGAAGTCGACTAAACGTTCTCCTCTCTCGTACATTATTTTCCTTCCGTTTTCAATCCGACTCTCGGGGGTTATAAGCGAGATGTATCGAACTGAACGTTTTGATGGTCATCCGGAATCGAGCCCGGTAATCTCTTCTCATAAATTTTCGGAAGGGAACTTCAACTGTCTCTGAAGTATCGCGAGTGATCGGTGGCTCTGCGTGTATTGATCTACATCGCTTCCTCCCCCCCTCCTCCGTCATGCATACAATGGTACAACCGAAAACTTCTCTCCAACGCTCGCACGTACTAGTTTCGCAATCAGTTCGGCGGAACTGGTACACGCGCTTACGAATTTGCATTGTTTTCGCTTCGGCGTCGGAAAGTCGTACCGTATAATGCGAACGAAGCGACCGTTGCTCGAGATTAAAGTAGTTTTTACTGTCAAAAACGAGATCGATCAATCTTGCCTATCTGGCCCTTAATCGATCGTGACCATCCTGTCTTCAGCTAATTATGACATCCGCTGGGGATTTATCTCCCTGCCCATATATATCTCTGCCCGGCGTTTTACACATTTGACATACAATTACATTCACGCTGTTTCGAATACGTCGCACTTACAAATTGATCCCGTCGTATCCAGCCCCGATGCCGACGTGATCCACCCCGGCTATCTTCCGCACGTGATTGATGTGCGCTGTAACATATCAACGAAAATTGCATGTATTACTGTAATCATAGTAATGCCCCCGCGCTCTCTGCGCTTAGCGTATACACTGCGCTATACACGCGGGCATACGCGTAGCTCATTTGCCATGTAACGAGGAGAATTACGTTCACCACCCTGACCGCGGACCTGCCTGCGAACCCGAGCCCCTCGGTCGCGAGTGCAGTGCGCCCCGGACGATTTTTCAACTCCGCGACTAATAACACCGCCGTGAGTTACTACTCGCAAGAGCAAGCAAAGAAAATTACCTCCACTTACATTATGTATTTCCTTCGTTTCCATTGTGGTCCGGCAACAATGTATTTATTTCTTTCCTTTTTTTTTGCACACGTTTGACGTACAATAACCGTCGTCTGCTGTAGCCGCGCGTTTGCATTCCCCGGCTGCATAGTTAGTTAGTCGCAATTGCTAACACAATACTGCACGATGTGCATAATTAATTTCTGCTTTTAATAGAAGGGAATATTGCGCTCGCGAATTGAATAACTTAAGAGACGATCCGTTAATGCCGCGCGCGGGCTCATCTTCCCATTTGAAGTCGAAAGGGACGGTAAATCAATTTGCAATTAGCGCGGTCGAATCGCAAAAAACGAAAGAGGTTTCGCAGAAGCGCGTTAATGTTCAGACATATCCGGGCGACCGGAATGCAGAATTTCTGCTTATTAACTAGCATTATCGCATTTGTAAATGCAATTCCCTCGGTGATGACGTAGGCAAATTTCAAAGTCGTCTCCCCCCCCCCCCCGCCGAAGATATAGATGAAATCGAATGATAATTTGAACAGGCACAGTAACATCATGAACGCGCGCGTAAACAATGAAAATTTGCATATTCGTCAGACGGATGTTATTGTTAACTCGGAAATGGTTGCGCTCGTGCGCGCGCGGATATAATTTACACCTCGGTAATGTAATATATCACGGATATAATTTACACTCTGCACTCAGCGACGCAAAATCCAAAAGACAATTTCATATACTCATCCGAATTATGAACGCGTAATATTGCACTCCTCGGCTAATTCGACAAATTGAATTGCTTATTGCGTGAGTTATCACGGGGGAGGGGAGGGAAGCCAATATTTAATATTTTATATTTTATTCAATATTTATATTATATTTAATATATTTTAATATTTTATAGAATGACAGACATTTCATGTGAAGTAAGGGGATTATTTCATATTATACGCGAATTAATTAAAAAATTATTTCCATTATTTATCTTGTATATTCGCAATTTAAACAAACCCGAACGTGGCTGATCGATACCGATGCACTTAATTTTATATCACGTGCAAATAGCATCGTCAATCACTTTCATGCGGGAATATATTACATGGGTGTTATACGATAAAATTTTTTTTCTGCCTCTACACTTTAATTTTACAGAATATAATACACGCGTTAGCAAGCGATCGATTACTGATCGTCGTCAGCTATTTTCCTCTAACGCGACTATTATAGTAACGACGTGTATTGGCGTCCAAAAATCAACAAGAAAAGTACCTGTCTAATGAATGTTAATGCGTTTACAAGGCTTAGTGTACATAATGGATAACGGCACGTCAGTCACGCAGACACGACATGCATAATCGATCGGATAAATGACATAATTCATAGCCGATCAGACTGTAGAATAACGGCGCGCCTCATTGCACCGCAATTTTGTTTCGGGGCTTTGGATGTTGCCACGCGCGATGCGGAACATATCAGAAACGTCACAGATTTCGATTTTCGCGTTCGCGCCGCGTTGCACCCCCGCATTATATCTCCGCATTATATCGTAAATTATATGTCGGGCCGGCACGGTGCGGTCTTTCAAAATTGATCAACGATTCAATGGGGCACGTCGTTACCAAGCACCGGCTAGAAAATCACGTTTACGGCGAATAAGGAGATGAGCGGACAGCCTCGCCGATCGGAAATTCTGATTTTAAACGCGGGATATGCGCGGGATAAATGTCAGAAAAATCTCCTTCTGCATTAATTGAAATTAGAAAATTGCCCGTAACCGTGATAACCCATTGATCCGTCAAACTCAATGGAGATGTTAAAAGGATGAAGAGCTATTTGCGCGCGGGAGATCTGCTGTAAAGTGCTTCTCTAATAAAGCGCACGAGCGATCTTTGTCGCATGACTGCCGCATGTTGCTGTAAACGGAGGAGGTTTGCATTTGCATTGCATCCCGCGCGTCGTCGTGACGGTTGTGCCATTAGCAGGCTGCCGCGAGATCTTTCGATTTGCATGTACGGCGTAGTAAACAGCGCGGTTGACGTTTGTTTGGGTAGAATAACGTGCGAATGTCTCCCCGGGACGCGGTGCATTTTAATGCTCCGCGCGCCCGAACACGCGCGGAATATACAAAGTCCCTACAAAGTGGGAATGAAGAAACAGCGTTATACGCTAAAACGGGCGAGTCACTAAAACGGGACTGTATTCCAGCGGTGGTTCCGGTGGCGCGTGCAAAACAGACCGTATATCCCGGCGCGAGGAAAATCGATCCAACCGTGAATTCAAAATTTGTGATTTGTTTTGCCAATCGATCAAAATCGAATGTATGACATATCTGCGAATATCTCCCGTTGAATGTAATTTAGAGGCGCGACGCGAACGCGGTGGGAGAATGTCAAAGGGGTTTAAACAGTACGCTGTACCACGGATCGAGAATAACTTCCGCGACATCTGTGACGTACGTGTGTACGTCGCCGGAGACGGATATAGTGCTTTTTGGTCACCATTTCATCGGCAAGCAAGATCAAATCGAGAAAATTGCGTTCACACGGTGAAACAAAGGAAGAGGGTTATTCAATGAACGTAATGCGCGGAAGCTTGCGAGCCTATGCGATAGCGCTGTTGTTATTATATAACCGGGGGCGATTGTTGCGCGCGTGACACGATGGTCACCATCGGGATCGGCTTTGCCGGAAAAGGCAACGGGATAGGGTGAGGCAAAAGGGCGAGAGAGAGAGAGAGAGAGAGAGAGCGCTCGAATCAATCATCAGGCGTCACGGAGCGGAGGAGGAAGAGAGAAACGCGTTACAATTCCCGAAATTATCATTGCGCGCGCCCCCCCGCTGTCCGACGCACTTCCCGTTTCCGCGCGCAAATAATTTTCTTCCCCCGCCCCTCTCCCGTCGACGGACATAATTTTCTCCGCGGCTCGGTGGCCGCCGATGTAACGCAATTAGAGACGCTGCCTGCGGAAGGAAGTGATTATTCAGGCACCCGGCTACGCGCCCGATTAAGCTTATGCGCCCGATGCGCGGCCGTCCGGACCAGCAATTACCATTTATTCTTTCTTTCGTTGCACGGTCGTCGCCGCGGCGCGTTATCCGTGATGCACGTGATGCCGCAATTTGTGCTGACTTTTCGCTGTCGCGCGCGATATCGTGAAATTGAAGAGCCTGCCGCAACAACGGGCTATAACCCGTAATGCAGCCGAATATGTGATATTGGAGATAAAAATGGGATGCGTTTTCCCGTCACTTTAACTTTAAAATTTATTTTTCTTCGTTTCTGCAAAATGTGGGTTAACCCCACATCGGTTGCAGCGAGCCAATTCAATTTACAATCGTGTCGAGCCGAAATGTGTTTTATACCGCAGGGGCGATATTACTGTACGCCGCATCCGCTTATTTTTGTAGAAAGCACTTGGAAACACCGGGTAATGGCGACATGGAGATTATCGCGATCCTAGGAAAACTACAAATTTTCTGGAGGGATACCGGAGTCGAGACCGCGCGGTTTTGCGCGCGCGAGATCCTGGGAGATTAGTGGACGAAAAATGAACGAAATTAAAGAATTTATTATCTCGCGTTTATTATCTACACGGGGGGGATTGTGAATTACGGATAATTTTTACCGCGTAACTCTTTCACCGCGAAATTCGGAAATTCTGCGGAGAAGAAAGTGAACGGACGTGTCGATTCGCCTTTTACAGATCAGAATTCACGTTCATGTCTGTAAAAACTGACACCGCGTTGGCAATACCACAAACGGAATTGGCTGTAACGCTCCCCCACGTCAACGGACGTTTCACTTTTTTTGTCACGTTCGCCTGCAGAAACACTCGATTTTCGCAGGATGCACTCGGAACCGCGGTTTGGTCGCGGAAAGTGTGAACTTTAGATTACGGTTTCGTCCTACACACATACACGACGGCTTCGGTTTCGCGATCGATCTCGCTGGCTGCGGAAAGGTATACAGTTAAGTTACTTTATAAAACACAGCATACTACGCTATACTATAGAGTGTTACAGAAAAGTTGTATCACCATTCTGCAATAAAATTTTATTTTTTCCAGGCTGTCTAAATTAAAATAATTAATTTACATCAATTCGCATCTCGAGAAATGTTACATTTTATTTCAATTCAATCTCACGTGAATTTACGTTTCCCGAAGCTACGTGCTAGATTGAAATCCCATTCCCGTAATTCGTACATATCTAATTGTATCGCGCACACATATAGCTGTTTATATTACCGGCGCGGTTTGAAATGTTAATGTCTTCAGAACTTCGAGCGGCTCTGTAATAATGCAAATATGATGGCAACCCGCGGGAATTGGCACCTAACGCGAAAACTCATTTGCTCGCTTCAGCAGAGAGACGCTTCGGATATTCCCTTTGCGACGTTGAAAATCGCGGCTCAATCGCGGGAAGGCACGTCAGTCGAAAAATAGCACGGGCTAAATGAACACGATTTTTGTTTCACAATTAGTTTTCTTAAAGCGGAGAATATAACGATTTCACGTGCTAAAACCGACAAAAAGATGAAAGCACGCCGAAGCAAAACGCTAACGTTATATCGATGAAAAAAGCATTTTAATCGGTGCCATCTTTCTCTATTCCGGAAAAAATACGAAAAAATAAATGCGAGAAATTTTCGATTTTATCAGATATCAATTACGTGATTCAACTACGTGTGCATTGCGTTGCTTAAAAAAAATTCGAGATAATGCGCATTTTGGTAAACAAATATCGAGCGCTTTGAGCCCATATAAGCACGTATAATATTTGCAGCTGAGTGGATTTCATGGAATTTTGTTTAATACATTACGAGGAACAAACGAGAGCGGATGGTGTAAAATCCCTTTTTACGAATACGTGTTTCGCGATCGCGAAGCAGTTAATAATCGAAATGAATAAAACGAAAGAATATTTATCACAACGATTGCTCACCTGCCACATCCTCGAGCGTCGATTTTTCGCCACAGCTGATAAAATGGGGATAGAAGGATACCATAACTATACCACCGTTCTGCGTCTGCAAGCAAAGTATTCGTATTCCCCTTAATGTAATCGCTGAACTAGATAAAACATAAACGAATTATTTATCTAATTGTATGAGGGGGGGGGGGGGTAAGTGTACGTTTATGACAAAAAATTATAGCTACAATATTCATTAATTTATAAAATAATTTATAAACTCTCTAATTTATATATTGGGTACAGCGGGGTAATTTGGATAACAGTAAGCATTTGCAAGAATTTCAGAAAAATAAAAGATTTTAAGATACATTTCATTAGATCAATGTATGATCCCCGCTGTATCCAATGTATAAATAACAACTACAATAATTACGGGGCAATTAATTCAGAGTTAACGATAAGTCATATATAAATCCGCTTGCTGTTTTTGCTTACCAAAAGTCGCAGCGCGTGGTCAGGCACATTTCGCGAGGAGTTGCAAAGAGCGTGAGCGCTGCTGTGACTGAAGATCACCGGCGCCTTCGACGTCCTCATGGCGGCCAGCATCGTGGGCACCGAGACATGAGAGAGGTCCACCATCATCCCAAGTCGATTCATCTCCAGTACGACACTCTGCGAAAGTTTTGACGGTGGGGGGACGTTAAATAGTTTCGATACTCGCGGACATCCGCGCGCTCTCACGATAATGGCATCGAGGATACCGCGGATTAAAATACTTCGAAGGATATCTCGGACTTTGCGTTAACGTCGAAAGGCGTATGTCTCTCAACGGTGTATCTCCCCCTCCCCCGAATATTCCTGCGATGAACCGGACGCTAATCCGGATTACACGAACTCGCGGAGATTCACGGGATTCGCTCGAGGGTGGTTTAATGTACATATTATCACACCCCTTATACATTTTTCGTTTCGCAAATTTATGATTATGGCCCGCGATAAATTTTTCAGGCGAGCCATTCGGAAGAAGGAAAGTACCTCTTGTTCATTGTTATTGCTTTCTTAAGATTAAAGTAGAACGGACCGTAAGTTTGTTACGTATCTGTCGGGTTGCTTTTTCGAATTAAATTTTCGCGTTAGTAGTGGAACAGGAAGAATAGGAGGAACTGGTTTACAGTACGTGCACGTTAGGTCAGTGACACTTATTGCACGAGTCGGATTGAGCTTCAGAACGAATTCTTTCTGGGGCTGCTATCTTCTCGAGAAGAATGTTAATGCACTGGCCCATAGAATAAATCGAAAAGTCGGATTTCCCAGTACTGCAGTCGCCAATCAATGTGCTTAAGAGACGGCAATTGTATTCAAGATTTATGCAGCCATATCTCGCAATTCGTATTACTCGCAGGAAATAACGCGATATTTTAAAGCTAACAAAACAGTCAACAAAATAAAATTTGTAATGAGTCATTATATAAAAAAATTAAGGTCTTGCAATCTCCGGGGAATTTTATGTTAAAATCAAACAACGCATAATTATAATAAAATGACTGTAAATGAAATATTAACGGGACAGATAAGAGATAAGAAAACAATCTTCTTAAATGCACGCGCGTCTCACTAACAACGGTATCTATTATAACAGCCTCAGAGACTAACGATAAAAAATTGAAACTCGCTAAATTCTTTGGCACGGAAGAGTCATCCTTGTTAGGAGCCAAGTTGTCGCACGAATTCCGATTTCTTTCCTGCGCGGTGAACGTTATCTCCGTTAAACGAGAATGCTTTGTTAAACTGGCAACGTGATAAACTGAACGTCTTAGGATTCCTTCTCGGCTTTCTTATTCCCCACGGCTTTGCCATAGTTGTGCCTCGTCGCTTCTTCTTTTTTTTTTCTCCCCTCTCGCAAGTCGTGACGGATTCTTAGCGTGACTTCCGTCTCGTTTTCATTGTGGATGCTTCAGGCACGAGGGAAGCTGCACGAGAGGGATTCTCGAGGTGCTGACGGATAAATAGAGAAAACTCTCACGTGTGTGTAAATCTTGTAACAGATTGAGTGACGCGTTAAATAGAGGATTAGCGGCGGGAACAGCACATTTGCGTAGAAGTAAAAAAATTTACTAATCACATTCTTGCGTGACAGACATTTTTGCTCTCCTTTTTTTTTTTTAATAATACATTCTTGAGAGATTTCCTCATAATGAGCTTATTTTTTTAGATGACTAGAATATACATCTATGTCTCCAACAAGACTAGAATAAATTTTCCAAGAGACAGAGAAAGCTCGAGAAAAATCTTGTTGCATAAAATCGCTGAAAGAGGAGAGTGCAATTGGGATTGGCTACGTGCGAGTGACACACGATAGGATAGTCGTGTTGGTCTCGTTGGTTGGTTAGAGAAGCCTTGATGAAAAGGGGAAGAAGGAGATCAGAGAGATGCGTAAGCCTGGCTCAAGCGATTCTTTTCCATTATTCAAGCAATTTATTTTCTGAAGTGGCATTCCGCGTATTCGCGACCTATTTCGACTTTTTCGCTGTAGCTACCTTTCCTCTTTGCCTTGGAAATGATAAATTTTAATAAAAATCGCGGATTAATAAGACGAGAAACAATCGATTGTTTGCAGTTCTGTTTCTACTCGTACTTTGGCCAAGTGGATCCCTTGCAGATATTTAATTTTGAAGGATCAAATAATTATTAAATATTGAGTATTATAAGTATTAAAAGCACTTTAACAAAGTGCTTTTATATATGTATATAATATTCAAAATAAGTAATTAATTGGCCTCTCTGGTATTAAATTTTTGTAAGGGACGTATTATTTTATTACATCATTTTTACGATAAAGTATCACTTTATTCTCGTGAACGAATATATTTACAAGCCATTTAGGCCGCGGGAAATGGGATCACGAGTCATCACAGGCAAAATACATTCGGTACCTAAATATTTGATTGATGAAGATTAGTAAGGGGTCCCTTTTAGGATACATTATTATCCTAATCTATGGACTCACTACCCCGAGCACATAGTGAATTTCTTTCTTTCTGGAGGATGACGATATACATTTTTTTTCTGGTTATTGGAAGAATTCACCCTCGAGGATCTCCGGGGTGTGTTAAGGTGGCGCATGGTGGCGGCTGGTACGACCTATCGGCCGACAGGATGACGAATAAGCTTCATTCTCCCATGAGTCCTTTTGAAAGGTATCCACTCGTATCATAGATACGTTCTTCCATTCATTGCTCCCTCAGGTATTTTTCGAAGCGAAAACCGAGGAAGAAGCTGGGACATTTATTCATTCTCTTTTGACCCGTGCGTTCAATTTTTTTCCTTCGACTTTTCGACTCCAGGACGAAACTAATTTCCTACAAGTTTCGGTATTCACTCTTCGAGATAGATCAAAATCAATTTCTCCAAATTATAATGTTATTCAATAGGTATGGAAGAGGAATATTTTATATGGAATATCATCGACTGCTATCATTCCAATTTCACTGGAACTTTGTTTTATGAATCCGGCGTAATAAACGTCACGCGTATAATACAGACATTTTTCGGTCTTTCAATAATACTGGATGGAGGTAGAAAGAGATATTTTCCGATTAAAATAAATATTCCTTCACAAAGGGAATTTTATATGAACAAATACATAGAATACATTTTTCCAACATTAAAATAAATAAAATTAAATCCGCACATTTAATCTTCTTTTATTTAACGAAATAATTTTAAAATCTTTTATCGCTCGATAGAAAGTTTTCACAAAAATTTTATCGAAATTATCGCTGATATTTCTTATCATCGCGTATTATTAAAATTGATTGTGTAACATAAAACTTTAAGTTCTCTCATTTAAAATATAAAATTTTAATAATAAAAATTTCAAATATATCTCTTTTACTGAAACTTTTTGTAAAAGTTCCAATTGAACTTCTTTAAATATAATAGAAGCTATGCAGAAAATGTTCCAATATATTTGATACTTTTGCCTATAAATCTTTCATGAACAGTAATGAATTTTTACAAATCCGTGGAAAGGTAAAATTTCATATGTAATAAAACTTTTTCCACAATATTTATTTAACAGCCATTACGAGTATTTGATTCGTACCATTTAATAATTTTCCTAATAATAAATAAAACACAATAAATTATAAAACTATAAAACTATAAATTATTAAACTATAAAACAATGTCGACTAATCAAACATAGTAAAGATATATCGTTTACCAATTTCATTGAGAAAACTCATTAGAATTATATCAATGAAAATGGCGCGTTGATATTTTTTGCCAGGCTTTGATTAACCTACATTCTCCGCGAATACGTAGCGGTATTCAAAATTGAACTCACCACGAAATTACACTGGTTTCAATCCCTGCAATCTTAACATCGCTTTCCGGAAACGCATTTTCCGCTCGATCGACACAGACTGGCTAAATCCCGGACAAGATTCGGTCTCCTCGGTTTCTTCCGCGGAGACGGAAGATCGGTGAGTGACGTTTCGCTTTGGTTGCATAGGAAATTGCGCGATTCGGAATGCCGAAACTTTTTCCGATGAGTGACCCAGCAAATCGGAGCCGAGAGCAAGTGGAACGGAAAACATACACGGGGGGCCTCCTCCGTTCGCCTCGCGGAATATATATATATACATATATGCGGCGAGAATCGCCGGTCTCGACTTTTGATTGATTCAAGTTGGCGACGACGCGGCGGTTGGTCATTCCCGTGTTCTTTTGCCAGGGGTGAAACTTATACCCTTTGCGACATCCGCGCTTTGCCGTCGCTCGACGACCGCCGTTATCGTCCAACTTCAGTTTGCGAAACTGTCGGGCGTCCTCCCGGCCCGACTATTTAGACGCGAACTCCCAGAACAAGCACGCAGCTGGCCTCAAAAGGGCGACCGGTCAACCCCTATAACGCTTTCGGAAACTTATCGGCTGCCAGCTGTATACCGTCATATTGCTACTTCGCGGACACATCCGTGTCGCTCTTCTGGACGTTCGGCTGCAACGAGAATTAATTCAGGAACTGCCGTGCGAGAGAGCTGTCGCAGCTTTTCTTCGGATTCAATCCGCGGAATTTTGATACGCGAATGTTCCGCATAAGTCGACATACGCGGTCCACGAGGACATTGGCAGCGAGTTTCGTGCAGTTTCACAGAACAATCGAAATTTATCTGTCGTCTTGTAACATAATAGTGAATGTTGCTATAAAAATGTAGATAAAAGTAAATAATATTCTTATTAGATATTCTTCTCATGTTTCTGCTATAAATCATTTTACTTCCGATTAGAAGAAAACTAATAATGTTATGTTCAAGACACTCGATAATATTTCAATCTGGCGCGCTTTACAATTACATTGGGTGGTCCGACGTTCACGTTACTGCTATGTTAAAGCGGATTAAGTCTTATCTGTATCCCGTGCGCGAGAATGAGAATCGACTCTCTTGGTAACAGCTCGCTAAAGTTTGTCCGATGGTTAAGAACCCAGTGCGCGCGCGCGGTCGGGAGGATAAAGGACAAGGGGGTAAAAAGCGAGAAAGTTAATAAAGGGCCAGTGTTCGAAAGTTCAGGCGGCGCCTACGAGATAGTCCGCGGATCCCGGGGAATTAAGATCGGGAGCGGACCGAGAGGAAACGATAATGCAGTTTTAAAGAGTCTTCCCCCCTCCG